TTAATTAAAATTATATATCTAGTTCATGCCTTTTGGTAAAACAAGTTAATTTTATTTAGCCCTTTTTTTGAGACAAGGTCTTGCTATATAGTTCAGGCGAGCTTTGAACTCACTATGTAGCTCAGGCTGGCCTTGAACTCATGGAGATCTTCCTGCCTCAGCCTCACAAGTGCTAGGATTACAGGCATGCACCACCATGCCCAGCCTTATTTAGCCTACTTTAAAAGTAAATACGAAGCCAAAGTTATTAAAATTTTAGGTGATGGAATAGGAAAATACATTTTTGGTTTCAGGTTAAAAAAAGAGTGAAAAACATAGAAGCCATGAACAGAGAGAAAATATCTACAACAAAAGCCAACAACTGATGAGACTGTTCTCTACTATACAGAGAAGCTTTGGAACTCGCAGAGAGGACATAACATGAAGCCACAAGAAGAGCCACACACTCTTCACTGGTAATCAAAGTGAGGAAAGCCACGGTGATTTACCACTCCACACCCACTAGGTTCCCCAAAGTATCCAAGTTGGACAATGCTAAATGTTGCCAAGATGTGCAACGCTGAAAGCACCCAGCATAAGCAACAGTGCCACCAGCAGAAGGAAGTGAGAAAACACTTGCTACGTCTTCTAAACTAAACACACCGATGCCCGTGAGCTAGGAATCCCTTTCACCTATAGAACCCAGAGAAACTCGCGTGTCCCAGGAGCCTCGAGAACACTTGTGGGACAGCAAAACCCAGAAAGCATACAACTGGCCTTTCCGAGGCAGGGAGCATGAGGAAACCATAAACCACGCCCATTAACAACGGCACAACTTTAAAATACAAGGGCAAAAGTGCCGGGGATTTAGCTCAGTGGTTCCCCCACCTGCCTCACAAGCACAAGGTCCCGAGTTCAAGTCCCAGTATAAAAAATTTTTTTTTTAATTTATAGGCAAAAGAAGCAAGTCAAACAATACAAAAAGCAGGGCCCATTTCAATAAAATTCAAAAATATACAAAACAAATCAATATGCCGTTTGGGTACACACAGGAGATAAGAGAGGGAATGGTCAGCGTGACATTCACTCGGCGGCCATGTGCGGCACACAGTGGGGGCTTGGCCAAGAAGGGTACATGGTGGCCTCCTAAATTCCCGGTAGCATCACATTTCTGAACCGGATGACGTATACGTGGTTGCTCCTTGTATCGTTCCTCATGGCATACTGGACACTGCAAAATAGATTTTAAGAACGTAAACTAGGAGCCGGGCGTGGAGGCTGAGGCAGGAGGATCACCATGAATTCAAGGCCAGCCTGGGCTCCATAGTGAGCTTAAGGCCAGCCTGGACTACAAAACAAAACCTCGTCTCAATAAACAAACAAAAACAGGGAAAATAGTTTTGTTTAGTAACAGAAATATCCTGAGAAGCCCTCTCCTGGCCCTAAGTGGGGCTGCATTCTCTCTCCCTGGCTTCCCTGCACACCCAGAGCTCCTTGCCTCCCTGCCAGGTGCTGGAGTCGTCCCTGGTTGTACTCAGGCCCGGGAAGGCACCAGCCCTTACCTGAACTCAACTAAGATGCACAGATCCAACCTGTCATAGACAGACAGGCTCCGCTTCCAGCCAGCTCCCCTGCCAGGCGGGGACCTGGCCTGGGCTGGGCCTGGCTTTCTAGCTGGTGTCCCCTTTGTCTCCAGCTGCCTGCCAAGCTCTCGGGAGAACGTCTTCATCTGTCCCGCATGGGGCCTCAGGAGCTTGGGCTGGCAGAGCGCGCTGATACTCAGGACCACACCCAACATCCGATCCCCACTGCAGGGGCGCCGGGGGGCGGACGCTTCCTTCCCGGCCTCATCAGGAGGACGCGGTTAACTGGGAACCTCAGGAGCAGAGCGAGTGAGTAGGGGCTGCTGCCACAGCCCAGGCCACATCTGGTCACGTGACTCTCCAGACCCGAGCTGCTTTTACCCTGCCTTGTCCTTCACAACGTCTGTGTCTCCGCACTCCGTACAGTGTGAGCCTACGATACCAGTGACCATTTTATCTACTCCCCGGAAACAAAGCTCTCTGCTCCGTTAACGTACTTTGTTTGTTTGTTTTTGTTTTTGGTACCGGGGATTGAACTGGGGACCTTGTGCTTGCGCGGCAGGCGCTGGAACCACTGAGCTAAATCCCCGGCCCAGTGTACTTTGGTTAAGAGCATCCACAGGCAGCAGAAAGGCAGACTTGTCAAAGCTTCTCGTAAGATAGCTCTCCATCACAACAACAAAATACCTGAGATGATCAACTTACAAAAGAAAAACCTTACTTTAGCTCACATCTTAGGGGTTTCTTCCAGTTTGTGATGTCTTTCAGGTTTTATTTTTATAGCAAAAAATATCCGCAGCACCTTTCCCTTAGGTGTGAATACAAATGGAAACCCATGTCCTCAATATGCTCTCTCCTATAACTGGCCTAGGTTTATATTTATTTTTTTTCTAGCCTAAATTAAAAGGATGGTTCAAATAAGCAAAAATAAGAGATGTGAGATCCTATCTTTATTGGAAAAATATTAGAAGAAAATATGAAATGACTCTTTTGATAATATTTTGGTGTTGAAAGCTTTTCTAAACAAGATTCAGAGTCCAGGAACAATAAAGAGAAATAATTAACATACTTGTCTACACAAAAAATTCAAAAGTTTTACATTACCACAAAATATCCCTTGGAAAAGTCAGAAGACACCTAAGAAAGGTTGGGAAAACATCTAGAATGTCATATCTTTGATATGAAAAGACTCTTAAAGCCAATATACATTATCTATAGCCCTTTCGAAAAATGGCAAAGAATATGTATGGGGAAGTCATAGAGGAAAAAACACTGGTACCTTAGAAACATAATTTGAAGAGATATCCAACTTCACCCATGAGGAAAGAAATCCAGTCAAGGGAGTGAGAATCCACTCTTCATGTCACAGGTGGCAAAGGCCCAAATGTCTGCTATGCACACCGTTGTCAACGTCACCAGGAACTGGCCGCCCCCAAACTCAGCTGATGGAAATGTGCAATGCGTAGATATGTATTTAATTCCACACATCCGTTAGGAATTTACTTTACACTCATGCTCGATACAAAGACCTGCCTTATAAAGAAAACTCCTGCACCTTACCTAAGGTCATATGTAAGCATGACTGCTGCATAACAGTGAAAGGCTGAAACTTGAATGTTCCCATTAGAGGACCACACCAAAACCTTATGATGTATACAATGGGATGCGCGCACCATTAAAATTGGGAGCACGTGCCCCAAGCAGTAACCCTCAAGATGCAGTTACTGAGTGAACAGAACCAAGAGTCCATAGCACAAGCCCATGTTTTAAGCGACACCAGTCATAAACACACAAAGAAATTCTCTGGAAGCCGAGCAAGAAATTGCCTACAATGGTTGTCTCAGAGCAGGATCAGGCACACAATTTATGGGGCCAATGTGAAGTGGCCCATGGTTCATAGTCGCTAAGGATTTCAAGACAAGGAGCAGCGCATCAAGCCAGGTGCAGCGCCTCCCTGAGCAAGGGCCTGCATGACGTCCACAGGCGGCCTGCGCAGCCAGCCTGACACAGGGTGGCAGGATCAGCAATGGGAGCGGAATCATTTTCCCTTCAAACCCTTTTGAATCATGTTGAGTTTCCAGTGTGTGAATGTGTTCATTTTTCAATTGACAGTAATTATTTCAGAAAAAATAAAACTGAACTTCCTCACTACTAGCCCCCCCCACACACAAAATAAACCCTTCTTATCCCTTTCCTTAACTAAGAGGAGGCACAGTTGTTGGAAATGTAGGTGAGGAAGAAGGAGGAAGGGGAGGTAAAGGCAGGGCAGGAGTGGCTTAGGGAAGGAAGGGCCAGGTTAGAACCACAAGGAAGTGGAATTGGACTGGATGTGCCCCTCCACACGTGCTGGTCACGGTAAGAGAGTTTGAAGACACTCCAACACCTACCTGAGTTTTAGCTAAGCATCTGCAGAAGAGAACTCAGCCATGTAAATTCATACAGCTCCATACTACAAATCCATGCATTCTCTCCTACCCACATCCACCCAGAACTTCAGAAAGCGATCTTATTTGGAAGTAAGATATTTTCAGACGTAATCAGCTAAAGGCCATGTTGGCCACATTGGCTTAGGGTGGATCCTATTCCAAGGACTGCTGTCCTTATGGGAAGGCCAGAGAGACACCAGGTGGAGACGGAAGCGGATTTGGAGTGACAAGGCTGCTGGAACAGACTCTCGCTCAGAACCTCCACAAGGAACCAGTGTTCTGGCTTCTTGGGCCATCTGGCCTCAGTTGCAACTACTCACCTCTGCCGGTGCCGGGTGTGCATGAGCCCCGGGCAATGGGTAAAAGAATACCTGTGGCTCTGTTCCAAAAGCACTTTACTGACTAAAACTGTAGGGCCAGGATTTGGCCCACACATGCTCAATGACAGGTGCTTTAGATGAAAAGTGTAATAATAAAGAAAAGCCATGCCAAAGAATGGCTCGACAATGGCACACACCAAACAGTCCCCTCTCGTTGATGGGGACCTTATTCCCCCATCTGAGAAATGACCCCGAAGATAACTTCTGGTCCTCATTTTCCAAAGTCCTTTGATTTATTAATTTTTTGCCAGTAGTGCTAGGAATTGAACCCAGGGCCTTGTGTATATTAGGCAAATGCCCTACCACTGAGCTCTACCCGACCCCCTAAATATTTCTTTTCAACAATCTGATTCTAAGCACAGCGTGTAAACTCGGAGGCAACAGTGACCTTGAGCTGCAATAAACTATTGAATGTATAAAACAAAACTGCTGTTGAAATCAGCATGCCCTGGAACAGTTTGTCATAATTAGATAAATTCACACAGACTCATTTGTGTTTAGAGACTCCGCACTTCTGCAAACACATCTTGGCCACAGAGAAAACTGACCATGTGTCCGTACGCATGCTCAAGTGTGCCATGACAAAGCTGAACAGAATCCCTTTCTAACTGAATGTGTGTTTTGCTTGAACAAAAGATTTGATTCTTCAAAATAAAGCAAGGAACCTAAAATACATAAGGTGCACAACTTCTGAACCATCGTGTTCTTGCTTCCACCCTTTTCTGCATCTTAAGCATCTATTATTGACCAGGGACCCACTCTCCAGCTATTGGATGATAGAAATACATTGTGACCAGAAAGATGGCAACAGTTTCAAAGGCGGTCTCAAAATCAATCTGCCTTCAACAATTCCTGATTCTCAGACACACACAGCAGGGTTCCCACCAAGCAAGCCACTCACCCCACAGTACTGCTCTTCGTTGAAGATCTGAGGAGGGAGAGGGATCCCATTCTGCGGCTTCTTCTCTCCGGGAACATTCTCTCTCATCCACCGCCTGTTGTCTTCATCCCCAGCTATATCCAGTTCCTTAAAGTCGATTTTGTTAGCTTCCAAAAAGCCCACCACTTCCTGCTGTTTCTTCCTAATCTGGTCAGGAGCAGAGAAAAATAACCATTAGGATGTTTTTGACCCAAAAAAAAGCATTTTGCTAGCACATCAATCCTTTCTCTGGCTATAACATACAATACCAATAATTCTATAAAGAATTCAAACAAGGGAAACAATAAAATCACCATGGTTCATTATAAATGAGGGACAGTGACTATTTAAACTCTGAGATTTTAATATCTTCAATGTTTAAAGCATTGCATCACTAACGTAATCAAAATAAAGGTGCATTCATTATCTTTTATTCGCAATATTTAAAAGACTTATAATTCAAAGCTTTAATGGCCAAAAAACAAGAATTAGTTAGCAAGAGATCTGATGTACAGAAAAGGAAAAAAAAGAATTCTCTACAAAATTCACACACCGAGCATACCATGCTAAAATGCATTTCATTCAAAGTTACCAAAATAGCAGTGTGAGTAACACCGAGCTGAAAGGAGCTGCAGAATAGGGCAGGGGACCCAGAGGCGGGAGAGGAGGCGGGGAGCGAACTGAGCTTTCTTTCTTCTAAGAATTCACTCCCTGGAGTGTGTGATGGCTTCTGCACCCCACCTCCAGTACTGGGGAGAGAAACTTCCAGGAAGCATAATCAGTCAAATATTGACCAACAGTTATTTACCAATTTTGCACACTGCAAAAGACATTGTACCAAACCATGGGGTTAAGACTGCTTACGTGGTTGAACCAAAGTGAAGACCTTCTGTGTATAACACAGACCCAGGGCACACTAAGAATGGCAAAGCAGTATAAATGTGGTCGTCCTTTAAAGTAAGATTAAAGACTTAAAAAACTTCTTTGACATGAAAATGTCCTCTATCCAATTTTTTTAAAGTTGCCCTGAATAGAATATTGTCTCATAATGAGAACAAGTCCTTAAAAATGTCTCACATGCACAAGGGCTGCCTCTCATTTTCACGTGGCCGTTTATTAGCAGAATGACCAAACTTTGACATTTTAAAATAAATGCTGCCAAAGTTACAAGCTCATCCCAGATTTAATGTTGAGACTCAAGCCCTTTTTGGTCTACACCAAAATTCTTTCTTAGGAGATCTCTATTTGAAGGGAAAAAAAGCAAGGAAGGAAGGAAGACAAAGAAAGCAGAAAGAAAAAAACTATTTTATTAATTCTTGCCAAAATGAATAATCCATCAATAACTCATGAGTGGGGAGTTTCTACTTAATACAAGGAAAAGTAAGCAGGTGTGGTGGGGCACACCTGTAATTCCAGCACTCGGGAGGCTGAGGCAGGAGGATCACAGTGAGTTTGAGGCCAGCCTAGGCTACATAGTGAGATCCTGTCTCCAAAAAAAGAACATGAAGGAGAAAGAGAAGGGGAAAATGGGGAGGAGGAGGAGGAGGAGGAAGAGGATAGGAAGAAAGGAAGGAAGGAAGGAAGGAAGGAAGGAAGGAAGGAAAGGGGAGAGAACCTGAGCAAGGCTCTGGTCTTCAATTTCCTTATCTGCAAAATGAGTCTCACGGCCCTTCCTCTGAGAACCAAGTGCATGGATGTGCAGCAGAGCATTTTGTGCCACAATTGAGAACCTGCACAGTCAGGCACCAGCACCTCGCTACTTCATGCTCACGCTGGCCATCCCTGGCAGGTGTCCTGATCACTACTTTAAAGTAACAACCCCCACGCAGGTGTGGTGCTGCGCACCTGTAACCCCAGCACTCAGAGGCTGGGGCAATAGGGTCTCGAGTTTGAACCCAGGCTGGACAACTTAGCAAGAGCCTGTCTCAAAAAGAAATGGGGATGTAGCGCAGTGGAAAGCCCCTGAGTTCAATCCCCTGGACTGCAGAAATAAATAAATAAATATTTTAAAATAAAATAAAATAACAGCCCTGGTGCCCCAATGAGTGAATTTGCCTGGATTTTCATCCAGATCAATCCAATTGAAAAGTTATGTTTTGGGCCAGGGATTTAGCTCAGTGGTTCCGACACCTGCCTCGCAAGCACAAGGTCCCAAGTTCGATCCCTGGTACCAAAAAAAAGAAAGAAAGAAAAGTCATGTTTTTCCATTCATTCCAGAATCTTGAAGAAGCCAAGTTCACTGTGGTCCCCAGTGTTCAACAAGACAAAGAACTGAGACACCCAGGGCCCCACCAGGGTCTGCCCATAGGGCCATGGTCCCAGGACTGTGCTCTCTCCCTCTGTCCCACGCCCCACTGTGGCACTGGACTTCTGGATTATACAACAAGATAGACACCTTAACCTAAACCCCTCCAGAGCTTGGTGAAATGTGCCATCTCTTTTTGGAGTTGACTGTTATGATAGAACTGTGATACACCACCACATGTACTCAGCGGCTCCTGGAGGTGAGAGTTTACGGCTGCTTTTTCATTTATTTCATTCATCCATAGTGGATTCAAGACCAGCCTAAACTACATACTGCAACCCTGTCTCAAAGAAAGAAGAAAGAAAGAGCTTTGCCGACCACCCAACACACGCGCAACCTGAGCGGTGAGATTTTTCTTCCCAGGTTTGGAGGAAATTCCCCTCACCAAAACCATCAGCATGGACACTGAGGGTCCTGAGGTCTCTCTCTGGGATAAGACACAAAGTCTTTTGCACAGTTCTGACAACACCGGGCTCTTAGGTACAGTTCTACTCTACAGTATTCGCTACTAGTCAATAGTAACTGATGGTTATAACCACCGCCATACTAATTAGCATTCATTGTTATCAAGACGATGGTAGCAACTGATGCTAACTGACCACAGCTGGTCATGAGACCATTCGCTGATCGGAGTCCTGACCCCACGCCAGACCCCGGGGTGTGTTATTTCAGAAGTCTTCGTGACAGCTCTATGAGGCAGCTGCTATTCTTATCCTCATTTTACAGACAAGGCAATTGAGGCCTACGAGGTGAAATCCCTCCCAAGGTCACACTGTTACAGTGACACTGAAACATTTGCCTCAGGTACCCAGTGAACCTGGCTCCCCCGAGACCCTGGGGTGAATGGCATCCCTCCAGCTCCTCCAAGGCTAAGTCAAGGGTGCTGCCAGAGCTGGGTGTGGGGGCACACGCCTGTCACCCCACCACTCGGGAGGCTGAGGCAGGAGGATCACAGAGAGTTCGAGGCCAGCCTGGGCTACATAGTGAGAGACTGTCTCTAAATAAACAAATATTTTTTAAATAATGCTTCCAAACTTCACAAGTGTAAGACATCAAATAAACCTAAGAAATCTACAAATGGGGGCTGGGGATTTAGCTCAGTGGTTTCGCCGCCTGCTGTGCAAGCGCAAGGACCCAAGTTCGATCCCCAGTACCAAAAAAAAAAGAAATCTACAAATCTATTCCTTGCCATTGGCCTGATCACACACCCAGGCTGCAGAATATACAGAGGATTGGGAAAAAGTGATAAAAGCTTTCAATGCTGAGTGTTAACATATTCAGAGCCTAACAAAGCCATTTTTCTCAGAGCAACATTTTGTGACCTCACCAGCGTGCTCCCAGGCTGGGGATGTAGTTCAGTGACAGAGCACCTGCCCGGCCCGGGGTCCAATCCCAGCCTGACAGAAATGAACAAACAAAAATGCGTTCGTTATAGATCCACCAAAAGTTTCTGCCAGTGCCAACAGAAAAGGTTTCCATCTGGAATTTCGCATTTGCAAAGCTGCTCCTTTTTTTCTGTTTCAAACCTGCTCCAGAGAGCAGCTCTCTTCTCTCGTTTTCTTCGTCCCCTCTCGGAAACCCTTTCTGTCTGCTGAGTGCTGAAATCCGAGCCGCAACCCCAGAGCCTCCAGGAACTAGATATAAAAGGAAACAGCCCCTCTCCAGCCTTGAGATTAATAAGAGGTTTTCTATCCCCCACTTTCCTGGCTTCTGCTGAAAAGTGAATCAAAATGCCAGCCCTAGGCAGTCACTGTAGCTCAAGGGAGAAATGTCACCCTCCTTTCTCGAGGCAGGTCTGCCCTGGGCTGTGGGATGGAGGTTGGCTTTTATTTCCTATTTTGGGGCTGTCTGGATTCCTAAAGTCTACAACTGTGGCCTCAGAGATACTTGCTCTTGTCACTGTGACATCATTTCCCTCAAATAATAGTATTGCACCTGCCAGCTGCACACTTTCTACTCGATGACAGTGCGCATGCAAGGAACTTCACTCCGGGGTCGCTTCCGCAAGCTCCTTCATCACACTGTCCAAACGGGGTTACGGAAAGTCTCATTTGTTTCCAACTTTGTTAACTAAAACATTTTTATTAGCGTGTGTTGCAGTACGTGATGATGACACTCGTCGTGGGGAGCTGGAACATGTACGTAACACGTGTCGAGTCTTCTCCCTTCCCCTCCCCTCGGTCCTCTCCCCACTCCCTCCAGCGACTTGAAATCGGTCTAAGTCTTGGAGAATGAATGGCAGAAACACTACAAGCCCATGAGTCTATAAAAACGTGCATGCAACAGCAGTGCGGCCCACTCCGTCTTCAAACTCTCCTCCTTCCTCCAATCCTTTTTCACACCCACCTGTCCGGATCACACATTTTTTGCACACTCTTTTCAACACCGCCCAGACACGCAGCACGCCAGGGGCGCACGCGCGAAAGGAGCTGAAGGCCAACGGGCCCCGTCCAACTCAGCGTCCCAGACAAAAGCAGAGTCCCCCAGACACCTACCGCTATGGACCCAGAAGATGTGGCCACAAACACTTTGATAACCATGTCGCGGGTCGGAGAGGGCTCCCCTAACACACCCCTGCTGGACGGGCAGCGGCGAGAGCCAGGTCGCAGCTGGCCGGGGCCCAGGTCCCTGCTGCCGGCCCTCCCCCTCCATCGGCGGGAATTTTTGGGGATCTGTCAGGTGAACGTCTGATTGGTTGATAAAAGCAGCTCCCTGGTCAGGCCCCTGCCTGACAACAGTCCCTAAAAGGCCAGGCGTTGCAGCGGGCCAATCAGAGGCCCTGGCGCGGAGGGGGCGGGGCCAGGGCCGGAGCCGGAGAAGGACGCGAAGGAAAAGCCCGAAAACCTCCGGGTGCGGGAGTCGGGGGTCAGGGCCGGAGAAGCCACGGGGCCTGTGAGCGAGGAGCGGCTTCTTGTTTTACATTTTCCTGGCAGATTACAAAAAGTTGGAAAAGACGGTCACACAACAGCAACAGAATTCCTCTCCGAGTGGCCTCTCCGCAGCTGTCAGCTGTCGCGCCCCGTTGGCCGGGCGCTAAGGGCGGTGCCGTCCGCGCGCCCTGAAGGCCGGCGGCCTGATCGCAGCTGCTGTCCAAGACTGGGGGCCAAAACACGAGGAGCGGCGCGTTCGCAAAGGGCTCTGTCCCACCTTGCTATCTCTGTGATTGCAGTTGAGTTTAAAAGCAGAAAAATACAAAAGCATAGCAAAGCCGCCCAAATACTAGCTGCTCAGTGTTCTGATGAGTTTCAAAATCAAGACCTAGGGCATTGGAGGCAAAGGCCTATCCTCTTAGGGAGGTGTCCCCACCTTGGGTTTTTGTTTTTGTGGCTTTTTGGTGGGGGGAGGAGTGGGTTTTTGTTTTTGTGGCTTTTTGGTGGGGGGAGGAGTTGTTTTTTGTTTTACTGTATGTGTCTCACTGTGCACTTCAGGCTGGCCTTGAACTCACTGTGTAGCCCAGGCTGGTCTCGAATTTGCAGCGATCCTCCTGCCTCAGCCTCCCGAGTGCTGGGACTACAGGTGTGCGCTGCCATGCCCGGGTTCCCTCCTTTTTTAAGGCCCCTGGCGCTGTGGAAAAGGTGGCCCTGGGTTCCTGGTCAGGGAGGGAGCTCTCTGGCTCTGCACCTGGCCCCCCTCACCAGAGTCCCAGAGCCCACCAGGCGTCGCCCGCCATTGCCCCCTGAGAGAGGTGCCCGAGATGAGCCAGGCCCCGGCGTCCCCTGTACACGGTACACGGTGCAGATTCACTCACAGCACAACGAATGCTTGAAGTGACTCTACCAGAATCTCACTTTTGGCTTCAATACTCGATGCCACCCACCCCCAAATGCGGTCGTTGGTCAAGATGGTCAGCGGGTTCTCCACATTCAGGTCTCTAGAAGTTCAATTTCAAAGCCACTGAAGACTATAGATCATTTTTATTTTTATTCATTTCTGTATTTTCCAGAATTCTACAATACATGCTGTATTTTCCACACAAAATAATATTACATATTTTCACGCCTGTAAGTTTCCCATAGGAATCTGGGTGTGGTGGTACATGCTTGTGATCCCACCACCCCGGGAGGCTGAGACAGGAAGATTACAAGTTTGAACCCAGCCTGGAAAACCAGCAATTTAACGAGACTCTGTCTCAAAATAAAAAAGGGAGAGGGATAGCCCCGGCTTCCATACCCAGCACAAAAAAAAAAAAACAAAAAAAACCTTCCATATGAGCATGCCATTTTTCTCCAGCTATATTATTTAAGAAAGTAATAAACCAGGAATCTCTCTCCTAATGGTCCTGTCAAGTAGGAACATAAACCAGGGCTGGATTCTCCAACTCTCTAGAACATACAGATGCCCTGCTCACGGGGGATAAAAACGGCCTTCAATAATAACTCTCTCCAGACGCCCTCTGCAGGCCTAGGGAGAAATAAGTTTCCTACTGAAATAACGACTCTTTGAGCGTGTCCCAAGTCTGCCGCAGGTGTTTTGCATAAACCACACCCGCGCGAGCCCTAAAACTGGATTCCACTGTTCTCATGGTGAGGATGCAGACCTAGAGTCGTTGGGAACAGGAAACGGTTCCTCCAAGACTTGAACCCACGCCCATACTTCACACCACACCAGAGAAGTCCCTGAGTTGCTGCCCTCAAATTCCTAGTGCTCCCTCTCTCACAGTGAATTATTTTTCACAAATTCATCCTTTTAAAATGATCGTGAAAATGTGCAAATGAGGAAGTTGGAAAGTAGCTAAAGATCGCTTGCAATGTGTTACATTGCACCCAGGAGCTTTAAGATAATCAACAGGAATGAATACCAAACATTCCAAAGAGTCTTTTGCAATGACCCTCAAAAAACCTCTGACATACAGCCCACTCGAGAGAGAAGCTGTGTACTCCGGGACACGCAGGGCTGACCAATTAAAACATCTCTAGCACATGCTGTGAAACCCAAATGGCACTTTTTGATTGAACTTAATTTTAATGATCAATTATGAGGTATTAGCGATAGACTTCACAGAGCTCCTCAGGTGAGCTTATGATAAGTGACATCAGATGTTACATTTTGACCTGCATAACTTCATGGATAACCTAAAATGACAAAGCCATATGTTCTTAGTATGTGGGATGATGAAAGAGATTACCATAAAAACTGTACTGGGTTGAATCATGTTCCCCAAAATTCACGTTCAACCAAAACCTCCACATGTAACCCTATTTGGAAATAGGATCTTTCAGATGTAATTAGTCGGATATTTGGCAGTGAAATCATCCTGGCTTAAGTGTAGGCCCTAAATCCACTGATGGGTGTCCCATGAAGCCACTAGGTACAGTGGCACATGCTTATTAAACCCTGCTACTCAGGAACCTGAGGCAGCAGGTTCCCAAGTTTGAGGCCAATATGGGCAACTTAGGGACACCCTGAGTCAAAATGAAGTAAAATAAACAAGGCCTGGGAATGCAATTTAGGGGCAGAGGACTTGCCTGGCATGCACAAGGTATTGGGTTCAATCCCTGGCACTGCAAACAAAAAAAGACTCAGAAAGAGAGTGAGGAGGCAGAAACAAGAGCTCTGCTAGGAGCTGTCAGAGAGTATGTGCCTGTGCACATCTTAATACTTCTCAAATCCAGAAGTGTGAATTATAAACCTCTGTTGTCCTAAGCCCCCAAATTTGTGACAGATTACACTATCCCCAGAAAACTAACACAGGGGTAATAAGGGTGCATGTTCGTTACGTGGCAAGATGCTGATGAGCTCCTCAATACTCAAAAGGCCACTGCTCCAGCCATTGACCAAAGGGCCTCATCCTTTTCCATAACACACAGAGAAGATCATCCCCTCAAAAGCAGAAGTGAAATCTACACACGGTGAGACAGAACTGGGGACTGGGAACTGGGACAGGTAATAGAAAAAAGGAGACCATGCAGGTAGGAAAGGAACCTCCATCTTTCAGATCCTCCTGCCCGGATCATCAGGGCTGCTTATTTCCTTAGCAACACCTGTCACCTGGACAGGGTCCTGGGGGCCCCACCAGCCACGTCTCCGTGACTGTCAAGTCTAAGGTGACAGTTGAGTCTGTCTGCTTAAGGCCACGACCTCCACCACCATCTTCATAAATGACTCTCCACCTAAACATTTAGAAATGTGTGGCCTTTCAAAATAAGAGGAGGGAACTCTAACAGCGGCCAGATGAAGGGTTGGCGATGTGGAGGGAAAGTTTTGTAGCTACCCTTACCAAGGTAGAACTAAACCGAGTCTGTTTGAAAAGGAACACCTACCACTCCTTACAGAGCAACCAAAAATCATAAAGGGAAAGTGCGATTAACCATTTTCGTTTGTTTGTTTTGAGACAGGGTCTGGCTATGTAGTTCAGGCTGGCCTAGAACTTGCAGCAATCCTACCTCAAGCTTCCCGAGTGCTGGAATTACAGGCGTGTGCCACCACGCCCGGAATGATCAAATGAGTCTACACAACACTAAAATGCACTATAAACAAAAGGTAGCTGACAAACTGGTGGAGGTATTGCAACATACATCAAAGACCAAGTTTTCATACATCAAAAGTTCTTCCACATAAATGTTTACAAAGATGACCATCAAGTTCAAAAACAGGCAAAAGGGCCAGGTATGGTAGTGCGTGCCCGTGGCCCCAGCCACTCAGGAAACTGAGGCAGGAGGATCAATTGAGTCCAGGAGTTCTAGCCCAGCCTGGAAAGCAGTGAGACGCAAAGAAAAAAAGGCGGAGGGGGGAGGGGCAGATCACAAGATTGCAATGGCCACCAAAGATATCAAAAAGTCTGCCCTTCCCAATAACGGAGTGAATACAAGATGCCCATTTGTGACAATGAAACAGGCAGTCCTTAAGAATCAACTACAATTCCATCATCACGGCTTTTGTTTCCTCTGTCCTTGACTGTACATCTCTGCACCTAACATGCACAGTGCGGTGATCAGACGTGGGCGCGCTGCTCTCCACCCACACTCTTCCCCAGCAAACCCCCGTGCACGGACGGTCACTTCCCAGCCATCTGCACAAACTGCACACGCACCGAGGGAAAACGCTTCTTCGCCCACCGCCCGGCCACGACGCCCCTCCTTGCCCCGGCGTACGTGGGCTCCAGTGCGCACGCGCACGACCCGCCAGCCGGCCGTTCCGAGATTCCCCCTCCGGCGCGCGCAGTTTCCATAGCGACGTGCCCACGCCGGAAGGCCTAGGTTTGGCGCAGCCGCAGGAGCAGCGCGGAGCAGCTAACTGCCCAGCCGCAGTCGCCTTCATCTTGTCGCTGAGGTCCAGCTTCGGCGAGGACCTCCCGCTAGTCTTTCTGGCACCTCCAGGTCCCTCAGCCCAGGGCCCCGCTCTGCCTGCTGGTAACGTAGCCAGGCGCCCGCCGTCCTCTCCTGCAAGGCGCTGCCTGGCAGGGGTCGCCCTCTCTGCCCAGGAATTGGAGCCGGGTCAGGACGACACCCAAGGGGCCACCGGCTGGCCCGAGCGGCTGCTGAGCCCCTGGGGCGGTGGGCGGTGGGCGGTGGGCGGGCCCGGGACAACGAGGGAGCCGCCCCAACGGCTGCCGGCCCTCGCCTTGCTCTTCGGCTTCGGTCTGGTTTTTCCTTCTGACTTGAGCGCTGATATTTTTCCATTCCCAGCCTGTAGGAATCTAAAGCTTCCGAAATGTGGTTATTTGCCCTCCAC